TGCTGACTCTGTAAACCGCTTAGAGAGGGCTGAAAGCCCTATGAAGTGGTAGATAAGTCTAACTGCTATTGCTATGTTCCTTCCCTTACAACCACAATCGAGTTCCAAATTTCTGAGCTTTGCCGCATTGTACAACCCTTCTTGCCACAGTTGTTAAGTGAATCATTGCAGTTGTTACGTCGGTGACGCGGTTGTTCAGGGAATCTGGCTTCCCCATTGACTTTGCTTGTCGGAAAGTCACAAAAGGGGATCATGTCGCCCCAGGATACTGCGACCGTCATAAATAGGAGTCAGTTGCCAGGCGTCTGAATTTGGATCACGTGACCAGGGAGAGTCGCAAAGGTTGTTAGTGTGAAAAACAGTCATAAATCACCTTTTTCACTGCCCTTGAAACTCTGAATGGTCACTAAATGTTGCAAGTTGAAGACTACCCGTAATGGGGTAGAAGAGAAAGTCTTCTGCTTTTCATTAGAAAGTCTTCTTGCTCTCTCGGATCGGGCAGGTGATGGTTTACATCAAAGGGGTACATCGACAACCTTCATTGCTTTTTGTCATTCTCCGGCAGTACAGCTCCGGGTAATCAATTAGTGCCTTGCCCTTAATTGACTGCTTAATTACATGTTACTAAACAAGCTGGTGGATTTGAATTTCATCACCTGCAGCTCAGAGGCTGGTAAGGATCTGTCAAGAAGGTTTTCGAAATGCAGGAAAGATCAGTTTCCCCCCCATGCACTCCACTTAAGAATCTCACATAAGAAATGAATAACAATCCATAAACAAAAGTACATTTGTAAGAGTCTCTGTATCTAACACTCCACTGTCTTGGCTTTCTCTTCCATGAAGTAACAACGGATCGCATCCCACCAATTATTCGCCGGGGTCCCGCGAATCAAACCCTTGCCATCGACTCTACAGCGCTGCTCCAGTGTCACGTAACTGGGAACCCCCTCCCCAGCATCCAGTGGCTGAAAGATGGACAGCGGATTGTGGGCAGTGATCCAAGAATGAGCCTGTTGGACAATGGAACACTACAGATTATAAATCTGCAGGTATGATATCCCTCCATCCTGGACAAAACAAGCAATGTTGGCGGTGGTTTGTTCTCCGAGCTTGCTGTTTAGCTTCTGAACATTTCGTCACCAAGCTAGGTAACATCCTCAGTGTGACTTTGGTTGAAGCGCCTTCTTCCAATTCTTCACCACTTATATTGATCTCATGGGGTCATGTGGTTGGTGGGTTTGCTTGACTGGTGGCCATGCCATATGACTTATTGTGTGAAGCCCCACTGAGGATGTCACCAGCCTGGTGAGGAAACGTTCAGAAGCTAAACAGCAAGCTTGTAGGACATACCACCCCCAACATCTACCATCTGAGCTACAAATATTTTCTATCATTTGTAAAATAAGCAATGTTCTTCCTTCTCCCTTGTGGTAGATCCACTAAAATGTTCTTTGGCTTTTCCCAGCCATGCGTGTAACATGACTGATGGGAGGACCTTGCTGTGCTTGTTGCATTTGCTTTCTTATCCCAGAGGTGTTTGAGTTGAGAAGATTCAGCTTTGCACTGCGGCAACAAATCAGGAAAGGGGAGAATGTCCAGGTTACCAATGCCAAGTGCTTTTAATTGGGCTTTGGATAGGTAGAGATGTTCTGGTGAAGGTACAGGATAACAGCCTACCTATTTCTTTGCAATGAGATGAAATTGTCAGGGTGAAATCTGTCTGTCAGTAATGTACAAGGCAGTGGTGGGTTTCAAAATTTTTTAGAACCTCTTCTGTAGGTGTGGCCTGTTTTGTGGGAGTGCTTTGCTGGCCATGTGACTGGGTAGGAGTGGCTTGCCAGCCATGTGACTGGGTGGGCGTGGCCAACTTGTAAAATGTGGTGAAACTCACTTAACAACCCTCTTGCTCAGCAACCAAAATGTTGGCTCAGAAACTCTGGCATTTGAAGCACGCAAGTCTTAAAGCTGTCAAGCTACAAGACCCTCGCACCCCTAACCCTTTAAAAAAAACAGGGGTGTTCAAACTTGACAGCTTTAAGACTTGTGGACTTCAACTCCCAGAATTCCTCCTCACAGTTCTGTTGGCTCAGGAACTCTGGCACTGAAGTGTGCAAATCTTAAAGCTGGCAAGTTACAAGATCCTTGCACCCCTAACCCTTTAGAAAAATAACCAGGGGTGTTCAAACTTGACACCTTTAAGACTTGTGGACTTCAACTCCCAGAATTCCTCCTCTCGTTCTTTATCTTGATGATGTGCAGACGGGCGGGGGGAGGGAGCTGGAACTGGTTCTAAACGGCACTGTAGATTTGTGGAACCTCTTCTATAGAAGAGGTTAGAACTGGCAGGGACCCACCCCTGGTACAAGGACATTTCACAAGTACTGTGTAGCTGCTTGCTCTTTCTTTCTTTCGAAAACCATAGCTACAATCATCTCTTTTTTCCCCTATTGATAGTTTGCATGCATAAAAGTAGAGCAAATGGTAACATCACTTTTTACATGGTTACGAGGGCAAAAGGAAATTGTGTAAGGAAGGATCTTAGATACTGCAACATTTCTTCAAAAAACTAAGATTTGATGTCGGTAACTTGAATTTCTTCATTCCCCTTGGGGCCCGCCAGCTCCTTCCAGCCCTCATTTCAAATCTGCCTTTCCCAACTCTTCAGCCAAATCCTTCCTCCAGAGCATTTATGCTCTCCACTTCTACTCCTCTTTCCCACGGTACCTGCAACAGCAGCAATATATTTTATCAAGGCCATTGGCCAATCCATGAGTGCAACGAAACTCTCAACAAAATCAGATAATAAGATTAGCTTGACACAATCTGAAGACTTACAACAACAACTCTTAATAGCAATACAAAAACACTTCACAACTGTCAATGTATGAGCTCATATCTACAAAGCGTTGGGTAACACTAAATACATTTTTTTTCTGATAATCTCAAAACCAGTGGACTTATAAATTGCTTCCATACTGTATATCCCAATAGACATCGCAATGTAGAAGGACCTCTGTCGTGATTTCCAAGAAACCAGAATCATGGGTCAAATACTACTGGAGGACACCCAACCCTGTTGTTTTTGCTCCCATTGGCTTTCCTTTATCTCTTGCTTTGCCTCCACTTCTCCTGTACTTTCTCCACTTTTATCTCCCCAGTAGTGGACTACCTGTCAGGATTCATTCATTACGCTGTCATAATTTGTTTCACCGTGATTTGCAGGATAACCAGAATTGACTGGAAAACTCATTAGTAGCAATAGCACTTAGAATTATATACTACCCCATAGTGCGTTACTACACGCTCTGGGCAATTTACAATGTATTTGCATATTGCCCCCAACAATCTGGGTCCTTATTTTAGCAACCTTGGAAAGATGGAAGTCTGAGTCAACCTTGAGCCCCATCAGGATTGAACTCCATGCTGTGGGCAGAGTTTGCCTGCAATACTGCATTCTAACCACTGCACCACCAGGGCTCCAAATGCACATTTTAGTTCAACCAACATGCTAAGCCAAATTCAAACCAAATAAGGTGCAGCTTAGGAATCATGGAGCCCAACTGGATGTTCTTGGTTAGAATTCCCACTGGATTCAACCCAAGATCTTCCCAGTGAACCATTTGACATGACCATTTTTATGCAGTCAAGTCAATATGAGATTATGTTCTTCCCCTTCCTTCTCCCAGTTCTAGTATTCTTTGAATTTTGTGAACCTTCTGATCTTCCTCCCAGCTCATGACTTCTTATATCTGGGAAAATTCAATCTCTCTAGTGAACAAGCAGCCAGCTAGTAATTGAATGCCACAACCTAGCTAGGGATTAAATTGCTTGCTTTCATAACTCTGCTAAAGAGCTCAGTAATGAAATTACTCAATAAAAGAGAGACTGTAATTGCATGGTTCAGGAGTTGAAAAAGAATTTCTTAAATACTCCTGAAAGCTAACATAGAGAATGGGCCCATAAGCTACTGTGTACTTATTAAGAAATTAATGTTGTTAACAGGCAATAAGCAATTCCTTTGTTTTACTGGCTAAAAACAGCTGAATGCAATTTTCTTATCCTTAACAAAGTAAATATCAGTAAACAAAGAACAAAGCCTGCCAAATCAATCCCTTCGCAACGCAGCTGAATCTGAAAACCATTTTGCGGCGAGTGCCATTATGAGCAAAGTTATAACATAACTTTCTGCCAAGAGCTCAATTGTAATTAACTCTTTTTAACCAGGGTTCTCCAGCCAGAGTTATTTACCGTCCAGTCACTTTAATCTTTTCAGAAAACCATAATTGTCTCAGTGCAATGATAGAATCAAGCCAATTATACTACTGCTTGTGGTTCGTGTTCAAAGCTGAATTTCTAAACCAGGAATCTCTTAGTTCAGAGGGGGACATTATTTTGCTTCCTGGAATGATATTTGGGGATGTGGCTTTTAAAAAAAAACAACAACCCAAAATACATTCTTTAAATCATTCCTAGAGATTTAATTTGCCTATTTTAAGTGTTAAAGAAAAATCTTATTGGAGAAAACTATATTTTCGTTGCTGAATCCCAGTAATAATATACTTAAGAGTTTCAACAAAAACCCCTATATCTATGGGCCTTGATCAACCCATCATAGATATTAACTGGTTATCAGGGTTCCAGGTAACACCCCCAATGAAAGAAGACTCCAAGGCTTCCTCAAAGTTCCATTTTATTAGAGATGTCATATTGGCACATCTGGGAAAACCCGAATCTGAAAGTTCTGGGTTTTCCCCACCCAAAAGAAAGTCAAAGACCCATCCCCTGCACCCACAGGTCCATCACGTGGTCCAATCAATTCACTGCCCCAACTGGAGACAACCCTCAGTCACTCCCATCCAGGTGCAGGCCGAGTGCTCTCGACTCCCAGAGAAAGGAATCTTGTTATGGCTAATCCTCCACCACTCCTTGTTATCACCCCTCCCGTTTTCCCCGAAGCTCCAACGAAAAAGATGGCTTCCAAGGCTGACACTGGGTTTTTAGTGTATAATGTAGTTTATAAACCCATGTTTTATGGCTTCCTGTGCTGAGCGAAGCAAGCTATTCTCTTTTTCTCCAGCTACGTTTTAATGCAACACATGAATCCAGTTCTGTGACATTTTAGGCCCAATCAGCAGAAAATCAGAAGAGCTACAATGTAATAATCAATATTTGAATTTGGCTCTACCTGGTATAACAGGGCTGACATTCTGGATTCTAGATTTAATAGTTTTGCAAAGAGGGATTCAATCTGGTTCTTATCTATTAAGTTTTGACCCCAAAGTCTCCTTAGACAGTTTTGATTGTGTGGGTCTAATGCCTTTTGGTAGAGACTCAACTTTGGTTCTCTTGTTGAATCAAGTATTGGTTAAAATAAACTTCCTTTGATAGAACTTTCACCCTCTAGTCCTAACTGATAAATGCAGTTCTTGGAGGAAAAGCATAATCTCGGAACTGAATTATTGTGGTCAATTCATCCAAATGCTGAGGATGCCAGGACCTTGGAGAGCCATTCTGGACATTAAACAATAAGACCTAGACTTGCAAAAAGATAGAAGCAAAGCCTCTTATTAATAGTAACCATTGTGGTACACCTTTCTTCTAATTAGTCTTCTGTTCTGACCCCCCCTTCTTCGCTCGTTCAAAGATGACAGTCAGACAGACGTACAAGTAAATAACTTTATCAGTCCTGGCTACCGCTGGCTGCTAGCCAAAAATAAACATAAATAAAGTCTCTTGCAAGAAGATAACA